CTCCAGAAAAACAAACAACGTTTTTTTCATTCTTAGATCACATTGGCAGCTGATTTCCTCATCTCCTGTGGAAGAATTCACCAGCTTATTCTTCATTTGTTGCTTTCTAAAGTGACCCTTAAACTGAAGTGCAGTTCTCATCAGCACACCCGGCAATTATCAGGAGAAAAGAAGCACTCAGAAAAAACTGTGACAGAACATAATCATTTCACAGCGATTTATTAGGCATGCAGCCATTAATGACTTTGCAAGTGTGGAAAGCAAGATGGAGGGGCAGAGCGGAAGCCAACACAAGCTGTCAGAACAACATTGTAATCTATCGCGTTAGAAACGTTTAAGCCATCCAGTGTTCCAGCCTGGCATCTGGACGTTAACAAAAAGCCATAAAAATCTGCACATTGAGGAATCTGTTTAAAAATCACAGTAGTTGGCAAAGAAATGGGAAAAAGCGCGCAGAGATGTTTGCGTGACACGGATAACAAAGGATCATGCTCCCCAAGAACCTCCTTCTATTGCATCGACTCTGCTGTCAGGGCTGAAGTACCACAGTCAATAGCCACTTCACTGGCCTGAGAGTGGGAATGATTTTGTATTCATTTACAAATGTTATTTTTTTCCTTATTGTGAATAGTCTCCTTGTTCTTTTGCATTAAGAAGTCACCTTGTGATATATTTGGGTATAACCCAAGGAAGTGCCAAGGTTCTGCAATTCCCACCTGCTGGAAGCAGCAGGTGCTTGGCACTTGCCATGGTGAAGCTCTCGGGACAGGTTCTGCTCTCACTTACACTAGTGTAAATACAAAATAACTTCACTGGCACTGATTGAATTACACCGGAGCAGATTTTCTCCTTCTTTGCAGCAACATGGAGTTAAAACAGTCAAGTTCACATTAGAACAGACCAATTATGTGAGATGATGAACATACTGATCTCACCACCGTGAGCTCGTACTCAGCAATCACATCCTGACTTAGAATAGAGTTTTTAAAATACGTTCAAAGTGAGTGATGCATTAAATGTAGATTCTATTATCTTCTAATGGTTTTTTAAAAAAAAATCTGTAATGCTAACACCTTCATATTAGAGATGTGCTGCACCTAGAAAACAAAGGTATGTGTCCGGATCTGTAGCAGATTTCAAGGATATTTAGAACAGAAATTTCAATTTAGGTCTCTCTAATTTCAAGATTTCTGAAAGTGCTGCTGGGAAAGAGGGAGGCTAATATGACCTCTATCTTACACAGGCTCCTGCGATTATATTATGGTCTATCTCAAGCTTTCCATACTATTTCCAGACTATTATGGTCTTTCTCAAACTGGTCTATCTATTGGTCAATTGCCAATTTGTTACTCAGTTGTGTAATTGTAAAGAAAACACACAATCAAAACAAAACAAAACAAAACGCTCATTCAATCTGTCCAGCAACTTAGCAAATACTTCTCTGCCTTGCGGAGAGAATACAGAGGTCTGCCACTTCACCCTTGTCCACGAGTGACAAGTTGAGAGTGGCTAGGAAAACCAACTAGCAGGAATTTAGCAGTCAACCGCTATTCCCAGAAGCAAAACTTGGGTGCCACCAAGCAAACGTGCTGACAGAGAAGATTCAGCACAGGAAGAAGGTGAAAACAGAGCGTTTTCAGACTTTTTGTAGCCTGACTTGCTGATGCTGCTTGAAAAAATTTACCTGTGAAATGCCCAGGAGGTTGCGCTACAGAAAACTAGCTGATCAATTTGTTTCCACTGTCAGAACAAATTCATAAAATAAAAATAAATGGGAGAGAGAAGAAAAGCATACAAGCTTTCTTTGCAGACATGCCTACTAACCGTTGTGTATTTTGTATTATTCACTTTTTTTGGTCCAATATTTGTCAACACTTTTTAAGTCAGGATTTCTATGCGACTAGTAAATATGTACTTTAAGGCTACCCTAAATCACAACAATACCTTGCCGTCCCACTGCCTTCTCTTTTAGATTTAACTCCTCTCTCCCTACTCAGATCTCATTAGTCCTTCCCTTCTTCCTAATTTGAAGATCTCAATGAGCAAGAATTACATGTCTCAGCAATAAACACGACCTCACAGCAAAACAAAGAAGAGGACGAACAAAATAAAAATTACTGTCTGGTGAAAGCTCCCTTGACAACTACCGCTACAGTGACAGGTGCCACTGAAATAATAGGAATGATGCTTCAAAACAAGAGCCAAGAAAACGTTATGAAAGAGAGAGAGAGAAAAAAAAAAAAACACACTCTAAATGGAGCTTTTCAAATGCATATTCCACTGTCAAAGGAGGAGAATGAGAAAAATGTTCTTTCTTATAGCACAGTCAAATTTAAACTGCCGGATAATAGAAAAGCACTGAGAATACAGCTTGAAAGACCTTAGGCCCAATGGTCCATTCCAAAAATGCTAGAATGATGCAGAATGAAACAGAAGGGTAATATTCTTGAGATGAAAAGGAGGGAGGGACGGTTTTAGTCCATTATTCAGTCTTGAATTGCTCCCAACTAGGTGAACAATAAAACTCACATTGACTTCAGTGCAATATCAGGCGTTTACAGGCTTGTGTCTGAATAACTTCCATTGCCTAGGTAACAAACTGCATAGCAAAAAAGCCAAAAGAAAAATTAGGAAAAATTATGGGCCATTTCTAATGCTGTTCTATCCAAGACCAAACTGAGTCTATAACACTCCTGAAGAAAGACAGTCTACTGGCTTAGGGAGGTGATTAGGAGAAAGCATTAGCCTTCACCTGCTAAAAATTCTTAAGTTTGAACAAGTTACTTGGACACTCTTCTCCACCTTAGCTTCACAACCACAAAATGGTAAAAACTGCAGTTAAGTACTGCTGTGGTCAGAGTTGCGTGGTGGTTGGTAGATATTCCCAAAAACACCGGATGGATCCTGCAGAATCACGCAGCAACAGCAGCATCTCCCAGGCTACCTGTGCCTCTTCCGCAGGGAGAAAATGCAAGTTCTTTGAACAGAGTTAGAAACAGTTGCACAGAAGTTCCTGGCTCAACTGAACCAAAGGCAAAGGACTGTGAAAAGAGATGGGAGAGGCAATGCAGCAGGTAGGATGGAAGGGAAGAAGGTACATAACGTGAGCGGCCCTTTGATGTGGTACATTTTATTTTCTTGGTATTTCATATCCCTGTTGTGAAGCGCTACTGGTTATATGGCAAAGATTATTGCCTAAACGCTGCAGTCACAAATGCATGGGGAATACTCACGGTAGCAGAAACAGACCCATTTCCCCTAGTTTTGAATGCACTCAAACAACGCAGCAGAAGTTTGGCATACGTTCCTGGGCTTGCATTCTACTCCAGAGAAAAACAAATTCTATAGGGGAGCTGTGTATTTCTCCTCTACTTTATTCCACATACTCAAGACACCTAATAAATTTGCTTTCACTTCCTATTCTTCTCTAAAACAAAAGAAAAGCTTAGGAACAGAACTATCTTTTTGGTCTCTAGTGGCCTGGCAGGGGCTTGCTTAGGACTGTCTCCACTTTTATATAGTGAGACCAAAAAAAACCAGATTGCACAGAAAAAGATGTCGGGACTAAGCCATTTCCCACCAGAAGCACTGAATTCAAAAGCACACTGGGACTGAAAATAAAAGAACGGAATGCTTACATGGATAACAATATCCTGTGTTAATAGTAAAGAAAAATAATAACCAAAGTTTTGAAAGGGATGTAAACGCTGAAGACTCTCAGAGCGAGAAGCCAGTCTTAGTATTCACTGGAAATAGAAACTTTTTGTCTGTGATTACTCTGTATCTGTATGCTACAGCTTCTTGCATCTTTCTTTACAGTGCGAATATATAGAACTGAGTCAGTATACAGCCTGCAAGGCTCACTTGTCTGCTCCACCATGACAATGTAACTATTCCTGCCCTTTCAGCAATAAAGGCTTGTGACAAAATCTGAGCTGGCTCTGCGTCCCTGAGCCCTGGGAAATTCAGATGGGAATTAGTCTTGAGTCACGGAAGAGTCAGATTAAATACCGATTCAGCCACGAGGTACGGACAGTTCCCAGAGCCAAACCTGGGGGTGTTGAAGCCACTATTTGAGGGTGAACAGACTTTTAGCTAAACCAGACTGAAGCCTGTTTGTGAACTGCGTGAAACATGCTGAAGCCGCAGCGCAGGGCAGGGGAGGAGTGGTACAGCGTGAGCTTCCCTCGCTCCTCCGTGCCACTCCTTGCAAGCAGGACACTGCACCCTGGGCTCCCAGCCCTGCACAGGAGGGGCAGAGACCAGGGCAGTCTCCCATGCTGCAGCCCACCCTAACTGGCCAGCATTTGCCGGTTGCATGGACGGCACCCCCCCAGCCTAGCTTCCCCCAAACTCCGGACCTCAGTATCAGGCGCAGGAAACACCTCCGCCACCTCCCTCCCTGCCTCTAGCTGTGCTAAACGTCAAGAAAAACAAGCACCAGCACCCAAGCCACGCCAGCGGCCGAAGCGGAGGAAGGGCTGGGAGGCACTTACGGGAATGTGCACTCGCAACGTGAGTTTCTTCTGGCTGGAGCTTTTCCTACTGCTGCTGCTGGAGGCATCTTTCTTCTTGGTGTCCATGGCAGTACTTCCCATCCCTTTCGCCCAGGCGTGGTGCTAGGCGATGGATCTGGAGAGGAGGGCAGGCTCCTTTTCCACCTCTCCCCACCGCCCCACCGGCTGCAGTTACTCCAGGCTCCTTTTTTTTTTTCTTTTTTTTTTATGGCCTTA